TCACGCCCTCAAAGGACATCACAAATCTTTACTTGATGACCCTTCGAAATTCCCTTATCCTTTCTCAACCAGGGGAGGGTGAGGAACGGGGTGGCCCACATTGTGTGGATGTCTGAAGGGACTCCCTAACTGCCAGAAGGAAGCCCAACTACTAGAACACCGCTATCATTAAATTTGAGGACACCTCCTAAAATGCCATGCACAATGAGCTTGGGGGTACATTCTTACCAAAGGCTAAGGCAGATGATCATAATTTCAAGCCCTACAAGGGAACTTAGCAACTTACCAAGACAAAAATAAATAAGTAAATAAAGGGCTTGGCGTAGTTCAGTGTGAAGACCCTGAGTTCATTCACTAGTACCACAGAAAGGAAATGTTGTCCCACTAAAATAACAGGAATTGAGTGGGCTGCCCCTCAGTTCTTCTGTGTTACAGTAAATTAAATATACAGTTGAAGGACAGTGACGTTCGTGGAAAATCACTTCTCCTAGCTGCCTTGTCATTTTACCATCCCCTCCACCTGTGTCTTCATCAGGTACCAGGAGTCTATACAATCATTAAGATAGAATTCAGCTGGCTGTTTAAGAAACGAGATCAAAATACTGTGTGTTTCACTCTGCATGTGCCTGTGTGTGCGTGTGCTACTGTATCCCCAGTACTATTTCCTGTCACACAGCAGTTGCTCAATACATATTTATTTAAAGAACAAACTGTATATTTTAAAGATTATGCTATATTTTCACATTTTTCATTTTCCTGTTTTCATTGTTATTTGGGGAGAGATTCCGTCTGTGCCATGAAGCAAATGTAACATCGCCTAATGCTAGTAGGTTCAGCTTCTTCTGGGCAGAAACCAAGAGTAAGAAGTGAGCATTCTGAAGGAGGACTCAGGTGGGTCCAGGGCAACAGAGCTGGCCTGGCTCAGACTGCGGTTCCAACCACATTCATGAACCAACAGCCCTCTGTGAGTCACAGAAGTCACGCAGGACCACAGCTGGCCGACTCCACAAGCACTTATTTTATGTCTTCTGGTACGACCACAGTTGTATGGCAAACATCAGTACAAAACTAAAATGAGCCCAAATTCTCAAAAGGAAAAGACCTTGCTGGACACACTCAGAACACCAGAATGCATAGCTCCCTTTCTGTAACTGTTGCTCATCCTTCACAATTTTTTCCAGCCTACATCCTCCAGTGTAGGAGGATGTGTGCAGCCCTCTCTCCAAGGTGAGGCACCTTCCCTGTCCCCATGCTCATCAGGATGGCACACCCCACGTCGTGTATTTGTTTGCACCAGTGGGTGCTCAGTGACTGTAGCTGTCTTCTCCATCACCACCAGTGCCAGCTCCACACAATGTAACGAAAGGAGAAGAGAGGAAAAGAAAAACATGAAGGGTAAGGCTGGGGAAAACCACTTAGTCAGCTGCAGGGTAGAGGGACACCTGGAGTACTGCTTCTACATTAACAGCAGTTACACACTATTCTCCTCCCAGGCTAGGAAAGGTCCTCTTTAGTAGTAAGAAAAACAAATCTCACAAAACTATAAGCAGACACTAGAAGCCAAAGGCAACAGGCAGGTGGGGTTTACAGAATGTTTTGCAATATCCCATAAAATGGCTAGAAAAAAGCCTGCATGTATGGTTTTAAAAGTCAGTTCTCCAAGCCGGACCAGGAGCATTATCGGTAATCTTCGCTCCTGCCCAGTCCAGTCATTCCACTCTGCATGTTTTCTTTATACAGCTTTATTTAACTCCTTAGCTCCTGGCTTCACGTTTGCTTGGTCAAACCCACACTTGTCAATAGGAATCATAAGCAAAACCACAAAAACCATGTACAAGATTTTGAGAAAGGGGCAGGGCTGACAACACAGTTCCAAATATAATTTCCCAAAGGTTTTTCAGATACTCAGCCACCCTATTTTTTTTTTAAATTAAAGCTTAAACGTTTTCCAGGATATAAGATGCAATAGTGTTGGAAAACAATGAGAATTGTTTCTTTTATATTACCAAGGTAGCAAAGAGGCCTCAGACTGCCAGGGGCAGATGTCTGCCAAGCAACTTGATTCTCCCCCAGCAAGAGGAAGAAAGCACAGTAAATAACACACATTTCACTTTCTCCCCAAGAAAACATGGAAGACTGTACTTTATTATTTCTGCATACTCTTTTCTGTTGAAGAAAAGTTTGCATCAAAATCTTTCCTAACAACCTATAGATAACCACAGAGGCACATGAGAAATAAAGACATAAGGGGCCAGGGATGTAGCTCAGTGGCACCATGAATGCCTGGCAAGAACCAGGTTCCCAGTTCGAGTCCCAATACAAAAAAGAAAAGAAAAGAAGAAGAATACAAATAAAAACATAAAATAAAAAAACTCCCAGCGGCCACTGTTCACTCATTTTCAGCCACACTGTCACAGCAGTCCATCCAAAACCAGAATCCCTGGATGCCGGGGTGTGCATTGAAATAGGAACAATGTATTGTCATAAATCCTCCTTCTCCCACTTTTAAGAATAAAATGTCAGTTTAAAGCTGTAAACCGTCTCCAGCACGTGCAGGTATTTTATTAGCGTGCAGGCCACACGGACACACACACGCCAGCGGGGCTAATGCCTTTCGAATCCATCTGGAATATTCCCCCACCCCCGCCAGGTCATCACTCTTTGTGCAAGTGACCAGGCACGTGGAGCTAAACTTGGCACATTTCAAGGTCAAGAGGTACAGCAGACAGAACCTGACCTCACCCAGGGAGCCCTGGTCCACGCAGCCATCCCTGGAGATGCACTCGGCCCTCCACTTCAGCCCAGAAGACTGCTGGCTTCTTCCTCCAGGCCTTACAGAAAAAACGCCCAAACGGGTCTGTCCCTCCCCACCACCCACAGCCTTGACACACGCACAGCTGTACGAGCAAGGAACGTGTGTTTTTACCATTCGGTCAGTTCATACAGGCACAGAATTGGAAGCAGCTCCTACACACCGTGTTCACAAGTCTGTGATTCTGTATTTACACAAATAACATAATCCTCTATGTTTACATACACTTACATACATGAGACAACACGAGGTGGTGGTGTCAATGAGATGAACTGGAATACAAATGCCACCCACGGACGCCACTCTTTCACCTATAAAGCAGGACCTGGCCAGGCAGGTCCTCAACATGGACCTGGCACAACCTGCAGCAGTGCCAGGGGACATCCGGTGCCAGACGGGAAGGCGGTGCAGGCTGGGCCAGGAAAGGCTTTGAGCCATGGGGCAAGTGCTGGCACCAGGAAGGTCGTGGTTCAGCTACTGCAGCATCTGCATGTCAAAGTGGAACCCCGTTCCATAGCAGCCAGGAGCTGCATGCAGCGGTGGGCAAACAGTGAGCCCCGGGGCAGGGCAGCCACTGCTGCCCACTGATGCCCTGAGAGCCACCCGCTCTCCCAGAACGCTTATTTACATAAACTGCGTAAGTCAATATTTATTTATTTACAGACCATTACAGTTTATTGTAGCAATTGCCAAAAGCATATAACATTTTCCTTTCCTTAAAAAAAAAAATAAACCCAAACAAAATAACTCCAAAAGTAGACATTAAAGTAGCATTTTCTAGGAATGCGTGGAGATGCTTTTGCTTTTCACAATTCTTTTTCTTTTAGGCAGATTAACCACCTTCTCGTGCTACTTTAAGATTACTTTTGGCTGTCTTCTAAAATCAATTCCGGCAGGGCTAAACATTGTTCCTACAACATCCTAGAAACTTGATTCTTCCCCATGATCCAATGTTTAATCTTTTTCAGCAAAAATAATGTCTTTTGGAAAAGCTAATGCCTGAATATATGCACATTTTAGCAGCAGCAAACTGTTAAACAATAAATTATACTCTTCTCAGTATTAAATGCAGTTTCTGTTTAGGAAATAAAAGGAGAATGAACCCCAAGAACATAAATGAGGCCATTCCGGTCTTCGCGATGAATCAGGTATTTGACAGTGCTTCCGTTCCTCTCCGTGAGGTCCCCCAGCTCAGAGTATGGGACTTAGTTCTCCCTCAGTGCACACCAGCAGGAGGGCAGCACTGCTACTCCAGCTCAGGCTGCAGGAGGCTACGTGCCTGTCTCCTCCTTCCTAGCAGCTGCAATTTGCCAGGGAGGCATCTTTGCTTTTCCTAGAGAATGTGCATCCAAGCAAAACAATGTCAGGACACTAACTATAAATTAGTTACATAAACCCCAACACAGTTCTTAACTGTTGTCCTCAATTTCCCAATGTAACTGGTTTTTTTAAAAAAATGTGTATAAGAATTAGCTATAAATTCCTTTTTTCTTAAATATTAAGAATTTGGCTCTTTTCACCTTAGTATACAGTAAGAAACAGTCTCCCTTGCCCAAAGGCAAGTTCTAAAATTATTGCTACCAAAGAAATATGTATTCTTATGCTTTTTAGCATAAAATGCTACAAAAGCCTTGTAAGAATATTCTACATAGCAACCTCCTCTCTGAAAAAATTTAGTGCTTGGGAAGACCATTTTAAAAACCTAAATGCAGTCAACAAATATAACACTCCCCTCCCTGTTGTCATTATTGATGAAGATTTATTGGATTCAGGTTTCAGGATTTACTTGAAGGCTGTTGCTACCACGCAGTCCTGAGAGTTCACACTGAAAGCAGTTCTCTATGAAAGATGTTATGATGGCCCCTACGGTATTGTGGGATTTCATACTTGACAGCTAAGTGTACAATTAAAAAGCTTACAAAAATGATCCTGTTAATTTGACTCATTTTTTTAAAAGCCTGTGCCAGGTAAGCCTTTTTGTTGTTTCTTCCCTTTTCGAGATCAGCACAATGTCTGACCTTCCTGCAAGAGGTGAGCTAGAATAAAAAGCATCATATGTGCTGCTTTGGTACATTGTGCAGTAGATTTAAACAAGTAAGACATACACCAGCCCTCCTAGTCCCCAGCATGAAGTTACAGTGAGGGAGTCACTTGTGAGAGAGGAAAATTACAGACACAGAATAAAAGGTTGAGACCCAGTTTATCTTTAATCCTCTGGGATAAGCTATGAAACAAGCAGTCTGAAGAGCAAATACTCAATGTCATGAGCGATGTGCGTAAGTTTACAATGATACGGGCACAAAATAGATTGTCGCCTTTAGTACATTAGGGTCATTAGAATGTCTCCTACCCATGCACCATCACACCTACTTGCATGAATTTACCACAGATTCATAGCAGACTTTGCCACTTAATGCATACAGAGCCTAAAGCTTCCAAAATGCCTAGCTGGCCTGTACATATTTCATTAAAAATAAACTCTATATAATAAATAAATATATAAAATAAATAAAATGTTGCCTTTGGAATTTCTATAAATAAATTTAACTTTTTTCTTTTTTTTCTTTTTTCTTTCCTTTTTTTTCTTTTTTCTTTTTTTTTTCTTTCTTCTTTTTATTTTTTCTAAGAGGTCTTTGCTTTAAATTCACTGGGATGATACCAGTAAGAATTAACTGAAAAGGTCTTTTAAGTGAGACTGCACCCTCCATGCCTTTGAAAATGCAGCGTACCCTGGCGCAGGCCACCAGCCGGAAGTCTTGATGAGTCGAAGGATGGCAGCTGTGCTGATACAGGATGAAGTACAACTGATCAAAAATGTAAAAGCGTGTCTAGTTCCCAGCATGCATCAGGCCGCTGTCCTGCTCACTGGTCTCTCTCAGGTGTCCCCTGCCACTCACCCACTCACACTCACCCCCTCTCACTCAGCCCCTCTCCCCTTCTTCCACAGGAAATCCAGCAATGGCCCAGGCAGCCCTCCAGGAGAACCAGCCTCTAAGTGCAGAACGAACGAAATCAGCCAGCGTGTTCTCATCCAAGCTTCCATCATACATTATGCATGCGACAAAGTTTGGCAACAGTGGGGCCAAGGTGATGACACAGCTAATCAATAAGAACCCACCGCGTGAAACCATTTATAGTGGTTACTTTGTTAAGGGCTCAAGTGAAGAAATTGTCTTTGTCAACTTTGGCTTAGAATATCCTTATATAGTTCGGGTACTTTGTCTGGGTCCACGGGTCTAGGTAAAAAATGTGTGAATTTCTGATGCCGTTTAGTCCTGGTCCCTTCTCTTGGAGTCCCGTCTTTATTTAACGCAACATAGTACCGCCTTCCGGTGTCCACGTGTTTATATAGGTTTGATGAGTACGTGTTATACCAATTTTCTTCAAACTGTTCTCTGAATACACATTCTTGGGTTAGTTTGTCCTGTTAAAAAAAATGAACAAACAAACAAATAAATACACTGCAAAATTAGCTACTTTCCAAATTAAAAGCAATATTTTGCTGTTACACAGTCCAAGGTAACTCTTACCCAAAATTCTTGGGACTAGAATGTTTGAGGTTTTTTTCAGGTTTTGTAATATCTGCATATACGTAGTAGTATGTATTGGGGATGGGGCCCAAGTCTAAACATTCACTTATGTTTCAAATGCATCTAAACACAGAGGCAATATGTTTTCATGAAAAGTTTTATGATGTGAAATGATTTTTCATTTAGAATGTCAAGCTAGTGCTCAAAAACCTTTTGCATTTTTGGGATACTTCAGATTTCAGATTTCCAGATTAGGGTAGCTCAACCATTATAACCCTGGTAAGAAAATACTGATTTTTTTTTTTAAAAAAACCTATTTTAACTACATCAGTGCATTTTGCAAAAAACTGCATGACTCTATCAATTTAACACCATTCCAAATCCTTATTCACAATGACTAAAACACAAAACACTCTAAACATTTCCTAGTGAAATTCTCTCTGTACCAATTATCAAATTCAAAGGACAACGAACACACAAGGTCATTTCTATTTTTACCACTACATTAGACAGAGACCATACTTGGGGGAGCACTTTGTGGAAGCCAAAGGCTCTCAGACCACTGCCTCAGCTCAAGTACATTTCCTAGGAAATCCTTGCTTCCTGACCAACATCTGCAGCTCTACAAATGACATCAGACATTGTTTTGTCCTTTAAGCAGCCATGTTGATTACTAACAGTATTTCAAGCTTCACTGTGAGATGCTTTCCCAAAATGCAGATTTCTGAGCCCCTGCTCTTATGATTCCAATCCAGAAATTCTCAAAACAGCCATCTCCAACAGTCCCTGGGAGAATGCTCTGCCCCCATTCGAACAGAGACAGTCATCCCTTGGTATCTTCAAGGGTTCAGTTTCAAGACACCTCCCTGCCTCATAATAAAACCCGAGGAGCTCAAGTGCATTATGCAGAATGGCATAATATTTTGCATAAGATCTATGCATATCTGCTGATGAACTGTAAATCATTTCTAAATGATCTTTAATGTGTAATAAAATGCTATACACATGGTTATTAAGAGATTAATGACAAGAAAACTGTACCATACAGATGCAGCTTTTTTTAATCCAGCGTTGAATCTGCAGATACACAACCCGTGGACAGGGAGAGATGGCTATAACGTTTTTCATCATTCCTGAGTCTTTCTCGATGCACAGAAATAAAAAAAAAAATCACTGGTCATCCTATTTCCTTGAGTTTAGATAGAAGAGTCCCCAGCTTAAAAAGTTATAGTCTTAGGCACACAGAGCCCAGGAAGAAACCTGTACTTCTTCCTATATCCCAGAGCAAAAAGGTCCCTGTCCTTGTAACTATCTTTTCCTCCACATAAGCACTACAAAAGGTGGAGTCCCACCTAAGCCACAGCAAGAGCTCCAGCAGTGGTTACTCAGGACTGGAGCTAAGGAACGCATCACATCCCAGGGCCACAGCAGCCCTCCGGGCAGACGTCTGTACACTGGAGCTGGGCCTGGGAGAAGCAAGGCATCATGGCTGCCCGGATGCTGGCTCCTAGCATCACTCTCCTCTCTCTTCTATAAACAGTGCTTTCCTACATAGCACTTTTTTTAAAAAAGTAAGTACTAAAATTAAAAATATTAATTTTGTTCTTGTCTACCTTGGACCTTATACAATTTTTTTAATCTTCTATTTGCAGGGTTTACATCCATGGGTTCAACCAACTGCAGGTTGGAAATAACAGGACTAAAAGTTGCATTGGTTCTAAACATATGCAGGCTGTTTTCTCATCATTCTCATAACAATCCAGCATAACAAGCTCATATCCATGGATTTACATTTCACTGGGTATTACAAGCTACCTCGAGACGATGTGACATTTACGGTGTATGTGTGGGGTTCTCTGAAAATGCTACATCATTTCATACCAGAGAACTTGAGCATGGGTGCGTCTAGGTGTCTGAGGGGGTCCCAGAACCTGTGCCCTGTAGACCCTGAGGGAAAACTGTAATCCATGTAAGAGCGTTGGACATTCTTCTCTGTCACCCTGATCTGGACAAGCAGACACCACCCATCACCAAAGTAACAGATTCCCCTTTACGTCTAGAGAGCTAAGAACACAATATGAACTCATGGAGAGCAGTACTACCTATAGCTGTGAAGGTAGTAAGTGAAGATAATGCAGGCGAGGAGAAAGTGGGGGATGCCACAAATCTACAGCCCTGTGCGAGACCGTGTCTTTCTTCATCCAAGGGTTCACCCAGGCTCCCTGGCTGCTGAGGGTCTGCTGTTCCTCAGAAGTGCTCTTCCCTGGGGCTGAAAGCACTGAGCAAGCAACGCTTGCTGTTGCTGTACTGTTTTATTTTGTTGCTCTGTTGTTTTTGGCTGTTCACACTGGGGAGTGAAACCAGGGGCCTCACATACGCTAGGCAAGTATCTTACACCATGGCCCCAGATTTCCAATGAACTATTATCCCATTGACAAAGTTTTGCTACAGAAGACGAGAGGGAAACAAAAACATCAGGTAAAGCTAAAAATGATGGGGAAACTTCAAATGGTTGATGCTGGGTTTGGAGAGACAAAATGAATTAAGTGCAGAAAGAGAGCAGCTACCCACAGCTCCACAGGCAGCTCCACCCACAGCAGGACTGCTGCCCTGGGGGTGCGCTAGGAAAACCAAGCCTGCAGGGCTGGGGGCGCAGGGTGAGGCAACCCTTCATCTCCCTCTGCGGGTGGCTCTAGAGGGGCCATCTTTTGGACATGTAGACCCTCCTGCACTAAGCCTAAGTGTGAATACTTGCCGCTGTATTACAACCCCTGAAATAAAGAGTGTGCTAAAGCCATTAACAGCTATTTTAGTCTTTACTTCCATCTACATAATAAGTAGTCTTCTCACAGGCATGACTATTCTAGCTAACAAGGGCTGGTTTTAGTTGGCTGTAATTAAGCAAATTTTCTAAACAAATTATGTGCATTTTTTTATTAATAAAATGGACCAAAGTATGAAACGGGATGCTGAACCTTCTGTTCTACAAAGGACAGGAAAAAACTGATTCAAAGTAAGTTTTCTTTTTCTCAGTAGGAAATTATATTGCCTGCCAAACATCTCCAAATTGATCTCTATTTTTAAAATGTAGAACAATTCCTCCTCCTTTTGGAGCCGTGAGGTAGGGAGAGTTGTATTTTCTTTGCTGGTAAGTGTCCCTGAGCAAGATGGCCACGCACGTATCCCAGGAGCCCCAGCCAGCCGGCTCAGGCGTGCCCAGAAGCCTCCTCACGCCCAGTCCACCTCTCACCCATGGGACTGAGAAGCCTCCTCTCTCATTAAAGCAGGTAAGTATGTCTTGGGCACTCCTAATCCAAAATCCAAAATGTTCCACATTCCAGAACTTTCGGGATATCACATTGGAGCCCAAACACTTTTGAATTATTAATTAGGGGTGGTTAACATCTATGCAAATATTCTGAGGTTCCAAAAACTCTGAAATCCAAAGCACTTCTGGTCCCAAGCATTTTGGATAAAGGTTACTCCATCTGTAGCAAGCATCTTAAGACAGGATTGTGATAGAAAGGCAATCAGAGGGCAGTGCTGGACAAGAGGAAGCCCTTCTAAACCATGGCATTGTTGCTGTTATGTTAACATCATAACCTCTGAGGAATGCAAAAACCCTAGAAAACCATTAGGTGATTTTCCAGTAAAACACATGGGACAGGCAGCAAGGCCCCGAAGTGAGACGCTTTGTCTTGGTCTTGCTGCCACGATAAGGAAACCACTACAGCAACAACCAGCCAGGAGCACTGCTCAAGCTGCCATGGCCGAGGCGAGGACAGGGCCCCTTCCAGTTCCGCTGGTCAGGGACTAAGCCCTGTGGCTCCTCTGTGACGCCCAGGTGCTGCTCCCAAGGACAGCTGTCCTGCAAGCCATGGGCTCCACCTCACAGGCCTTGCTCAGGACGCTTCTCGAGTCACAGGTGCTTCCTTTTGTCTTTATCCCAAAATACAATTTAAGAAAAATACACTACTCATTTTGCAAGAGGAAGGTGCAGAGAGGGAAAGAAAATAGCATGAACAAAATTCTACAGTGACAAGTGTGTTAGTACCTAGAGATACAACACGAAGTTGCTTTTGGTTTAAGGTGCTTATTGTCCACTTTTTTATAAAAAAAAATATATAAACAACTCTTTTAAAAAGTTAGTAAGCTAAAAAACAGAATCACTGCTTTCTCTGCTCAGTGAATATATACTTCTGCTTGCCTAGGAGACTCCTTCAACACCATTTATACACACAGAGCTGCCCAGGCAGCCCACATTGGCTATCTGAGTATAAAACAGTGTCACCCACAGCTAGGGCACTTCATGATGGCTCGGAGTTCAAAGGTCTCACATGCAGGAGGGCCGTATAACCAGTTATGTCAGATACCAAATCCCAAAACCAGTGGAATACTTCAGCTCCTGGATTCTACCAATTAGGCCACTCTGATAACCTTGTATGCCATAAAATTAAAATAAAAATTAAAAATTAAGGGCAACTTACATTCTTATACCATGCATATATTTTAAATAATTTTGTCCTCTTATTTCATTTACATCTGTGTGATTTTTGTTTTAGACAGAGAAGCAAGATATACAGAATTAATAGCTTGGAGCATACTTCTGTTCTGAGTGATGACATATTCAGCTGAAGTGAATGTATGCTATGTATTTCTATCCCCAAACTATTTCTACTTAAAAAATAAATGGATAGATACTATCTGCAATAGCAAAACTACATCAACCTGTATTCTTACATATGTACAGAGGAGAGTCTGCCTTCAAATAAACTGTACACTGTGCAGTTATAGAACTCAGATGTTTTAAAATTCACCACATGTTTCCAAAGCAGACAGTTTATAGAGTATTCCACTATAAAGTGATCAATTCTTATTTTATTGTATTTCCATG